ATAAACTTCCGCACACAAATGCTCACGACAGCACGAGACTCAACGCACAAGTATAAACTGGCCTTCAGTGTTATGTGCGCATTCAAAGGCCTTTACTGGTGCAACTATTTGTCCTCCAGAGTATTTGACAACTGATCAGACAGACTGGGAAATGAACCAGATAATTTACAGTCTGATATTAAGATGATCTAAACCACTTTATTTGGAGGTCAAACTGACAGTGAACACGTCTGAACTATTGATGATAAATCCGGGTAACTTTGTGGTGCACTCTGCATAAAATGCAAATGTTGGACAGACAAATGTTGAAGAACTGATTTGTGGCAGAAAATGACCATTATTACTCAACTTCAACATTCTCTTTTAGCGCCCTGTGGGGTCATGTGTGGCCGTGGCCAATCACTATCCCTTGCAGAGACTGATTACAGTAACTCTGGGCACCTGGGCCAATTGCCCTGTGGAGTATTTGTAACCCTTGTTTTTATTCTTAAAGAGCTGCTGCTGGGCTGAGGTCACAGACCTCCCTGCTAACTTACTCCCCTCTGTTTCCCTCCACAGGTTCCACATTTGCTTTGGTTTCTGGACATGTAGTCATTGTTTTTTGCATATTACAACACCCTTAAACACATTTTCCATGCATCCATCATCAGGGCTGGCCTGCGGCCCACAACAATTGGTTGAACACTCCTCACCAATAAACCATACTTGCAGTCGGGGGAGGACTGAACATTGTGGTGTTCGGGAGCAATCCCGAATGGCCGGTCCATTCTCCATCGTCCAGGGGTCAGGAGTTTTTATTTTTCAGTTTTAACTTTATGATCTGTCTGTGTCTGACTGGGCCAAACCAATTCTTTCAATATGATGAGGGTGTACCAGCGGCCCCTCCCAACTTGGACTGATTTTCGTATTTGCTGAAATCTGATTGGCTCAACAGGGCCGATCAAAGAAGTTTACTTTCCATTTGTACTGAGTTTAATCTCCAAACGTTTTGTCGGGGCACATTTGGCAGCAGCCAACTCAAGAATTTGTTTGGTTTTTTTGGCCCGCAACACAAGAAACAGTGGGCAGATGGGGAGGGACTGGGGGCTAGTAAGAGATGTGATTGGGCCAGCCCAGTGTAAGTAGAGATGTCATGATTTACAGAACGAGTGCAAGCAAGAGTGTGAGCCCAAACGCAAAACACCAAGGCAGAGATTCAGTTCAGGGGATTTAATCCAAATGACATCAAGTAAACAGGCTTACAGGCAGTTGTCTGGAAAATCCAAACAGGCAGACAGAACACGCAAACAAACAAACATGACTGAGTGTAAGACACCACAATGACCAGACAAAGACTGAGGAAAACATGCAAGCATATATACCAACAGGGTTAACGAGCTGGGTGGGGATACACAGGTGAGAGACATGAGACTAATGAGACACAGACAGGCAGATTACTGAGGGGGGAAAAGACATAACACAAGTTACTCAACACTTAACATATCAGAGTAACATAAATAAACTAATACAAGCAGACAGATCACAAATAAACTAACACCAACGAGGATCACAGACAGAAGCTAAGGTAAAACAGAACTCAGAGCAGACATGGGCAAAACAACACAGAAGAACTCAGACCAGGAGTGAACACTTAAGACATGAACTAAGGTACAGTACAAGGAACAAAGACACCGACTAGGAACTACGATACGAGACAAGACAGATACTAAGTAACTTAAAGATGCGGATGAATAATAATAATAAAGGCTACACAGAGACTAAAGCACAATCATCAAAATCAGATTAATTAGTGAAACTGGCAGAGAACATAATGAGACATCTAGCAAACTCAGTCATGATGGGACAGAAACTAATACATGAGACTAGAACAAAACTGAAAACACCAGCTGACAGATAATAACCAGATAAACAATAACATCAGGTAGAAGACGCACACTAAAGGTAGCAAGCAAACTAAAAACTAAGTCTAAGCTAACAGCACAGTAAAAGGGATTCTAACTAATATGATAGGGTGGCACACAGACCACGGAGACTGGATCCAAGACCACAGACTATATAACAGATACCTAACTGATAAATGAATAAACTCAGATAACGAAACGGAACAGATGACAGGACTAACATGCAGATACAAAACCAATCCCTCAGAATCAAAATCCACAAACACAGCACTCAGAACAGGATCGTGACGTCCCTGCTCTCTTGGCCGGTACATTGGCCAATTTCATTTTAACCCACCGGGCATTCGCCTGGTATGCCAGATTACCAGTCCATCATCCTGCCCTGACATGACTGAAACCACGGATGTTCATATCACATTCTGTAGCACCTTTAGTTTGGCGCAAGCCTTAATTTGGTTCATTTGTGTTTTAAATAAACATATTTTACAAAATGGATGCCATGGTGTGGCCACTTGAGCCAGGTCATAACACATGGCACAGATCAGAACGTGAGGTGAGCATGATGCTGATGGTAGAGCGCACACGTCATACATGTATACACATCTATATTTATTTATACTAAGATTTATTTCCATGTCATTGAACATATTTGAAAAAAAAAACACTTTTTTCTTTCACTTTATGCAGGAAACTAATCTAAGAGCAGCAGAATGTCTTATGTATTAAAGTCACCATCTTTTATTAGTTTCCAAATTCCCTGTATTGTGTCCCAGTGATGGAGAAGAAGATCCGAGACAAAAAAATACCAGTGGTGGATTTTTATTTTTATTTTTTTATTTGCATTGAATTTATCCTCTTACAGTTTTTGTGTGCGTTGGTCCATATATCTCTTTCTTCATGGACCAAGAAGGCACAGAGAGCAACACTGTGAACGCTTTGTTCAACAGTTGCTGTTGAAAGATGTAATTACTACATATACGCCAAAACAAATCCCTCAGTATGAAAATAAATAAATCTTCCATGCCCTGCTGTGCCTGATAGTCTGCTTCAACACATTTGTCTTTAACCTTCTGTTGATGCATTTGATCTGCATTTACTTTCCTCTTCCCTGCAGAAGTATCATTTCCAGACCTCCATGTTTAAAGGTCAAAGGTCAAACAGTGTGGTAACAAAGTTAACAGAAAGTGCATCCTGAAAGTGATGTAACATACTGTTTTTTTTATGTGTGTCTTTGTGCCTCTGAGGGGTCAATGAAAAAAGCAATTTCCAGTTATTATGATGCAGTTTATTTGGCAAACACCAATACGGTCCACACAGAAGCCCACAGCTGATGTAAGGATAGTGTAATGAGTGTCATTAGTGTCCTGCACTGTGATCTCCCATGTGTGCGTCTCTGGTGAACAACAGACCAGGTCTCAGGGGACGGGCCTGACTACAGCCAGTCTGCAAACAGCTTATTATGACCCAGTGGTCACAGTGGGCCGGCCTCGGGGGGATGTGCTGGTAAGAAAATACCTTTTAGCTCAGTAATGATCCAACATGCCGTAATGTGACAAACACTCTGTGGCTCTTGCTAATTAGGTAGCAAAGTTAGGAAAAGTAATTATCCTTTGAGTGCAATTAAAGACGTTCACACAGCTCCAGCCTGTTTAGCTCAACAGACATGACCGTCAGCCACTTTAACACAGCAATACAACATAATAAAATAAAATGTAATGATACACTTGGAAAGCATGTGTGTGTTCAGTTTGACCACATGGCTAAATAAGGTACTATAATTATCGATAACAATCTACAAAGTTAAATCAGTAAAGTCAAGAGAAAGTCATGGCCTGAAAAGAGTAAAAAGGATCAGGCTTTATGTGCTTAAAATCATTGTTGGTAGTAACAAGTGCCATAAATCTGCATATGGAAACACTGAAGTTACTCCAGAGAAATAGGCCAGTTTATATTTCTGTATCAAATCTACGCTGTAGCCTGACGCACACCTCCCAGAAAGGAAGTGTCACAAATACTCCTACACGTTTCCAGCTCGTCCTTCTTCTTCTACATCAACCGGTTCAAGGGTCGTACAAACAACATGATCCGCTCACTTTCAGTCGCCATTGTTTGTAGCAGCCTACACCAACGAAGAAGAAGAAGAAGAAACACGACACAGTAGAACATAGAAACCCAACTGCCAACTAACGTTTTGGTGACGCAGACACCAACACACATGTATCAATGCTCACAACAGCACGAGACTCAACCTATAATGTGCATATAAGGCCTTTGCTGGTGCAACCATTTGCACTCCATCCGTGTATTTGGCAACTGGTCAGACAGATTGTCAAAAGAATCAGATCATTTTATTTACAATCAGATGATGTAAACCACTGTCTTTGGAGGTCAAACTGAAAGTGAATACGTCTGTATTATTATTATATGTCTGAGTCGCGGTCAGCAGTACGAAGAAGCTGCGTGAAAACAAGGCTCCTCTTCTGGCAACCCTGATTTCTTATATCTGATTGTTTCTACGGCGTCTCTGAAGGATCAGTGTTAATCTCTGAGGAGCTGACCTATACGCTGTGATAACCACACACACACACACACACACACACACACACACACACACACACACACACAGCTGATGACAGCTGGCCTCTTGAAGACCCAGATGTTGCAGTAGGATTTAATGCATCACAACTACATTAACACTGTGTTTACTGCTGCTCATCATATCTGACCTGCCGTGTGTGTGTGTGTGTGTGTGTGTGTGTGTGTGTGTGTGTGTGTGTGTGTGGCTAAAAGCAGCAAAGAGTTAAGAAGCTTTGTGATCTGTTGAAGTACTTACAGTAAGAGAGAGAGAGCGAGAACATGACAGAGCGAGGAGGCTTTACAGTGAAAGAGTGGGAAGGTAAGGAGGCTCAGACGTGGAGCGCACCAGAGAGACAGATGGAGTGACAGGAAGTCAGCGGACGGGGAGAGACAAAGATTTTAAAAATACCAGAAGAAAGCAAAGAGAGAGAGAGAGAGAGAGAGGGCAGGAGAGAGAGAGAGAGAGAGAGAGGGCAGGAGAGAGAGAGAGAGAGGGCAGGAGAGAGAGAGAGAGAGAGAGAGAGAGAGGATTAGGCAGGGTTAGAGAGGATTAGTGTCTGTTTTGGGTTTGGTTGTAATATCACATCCATGTCAGGCACCACTGGCTGCTGATTCACTTCGGCTCAGAGTTCACACACTGAAACATCAAACTGGACAAGAGGAAGAGGAAGAGGAAGGTAAGTTGGTTTTATTTTACTCAGGTGGTTTGACTGTTTGCGTATGAGGACTGAGCTCTGACCACAGAGACGCTGCAGCCATGTCACCAGCTCTGAGAGGCTAAATGCTAGCATGCTCACAGTGAAAGATCTAACATGATGATGTTTAGCAGGTTAGGCTACAATGTTTACCATCTTAGTTTCATGTGTTAGCATGCTAACATTAGCTGAGGCTGATGGGAATCAGTTCTGCAGGTATGATGATGGCGCTAGATGGAAAGTCAGAGGATCACCAAAGTTCTTGCAGTTCATCCTGAGGGGAACATGAAGGTCTGAACCACAAAATAGGTCGTAATATGCTGCTGCATAATCGACCTGTACGGCCATTTCTCTGGTGAGGCGCAGTGTTGCCTCATTTCACACCACACAAAGCAAACTTTTCACCTCCATGGACTTGCATGCACCCAATTTTAATATGTTTTCCTTCTTAGGCCAGTAGCTGTGGTGCAGTGTTTTGTTTCTGCCTGCAGCTGAAGCATTTTGAATAAGCTTGGAGTTCACAAATGTCCCATTGTGTCACAACAAAGACAAATATAGCAGCCGGGCCATTTGACAGACGAAAATTAAGGGGAAAACATGGTTTGTCAGGCTGGTGAAGGCAATTTTAGCCAAAAGTAAACTTTGAGGTGTGGAAGTGTGGAGGGCTGCACCTGAACCTCTTCCCCATCCACAGGTTTCCCCACGGCATCATTGAGTTACCAGCCCGAGTTAGTTTTTCGTTTTCAGTCCCTTCTTAGGTAACTTTTAATGGTCCTGAAGGTCAAAGTAGCTTTATTGTCTCCCGTAAGAGAAACTCATGTTAGAGTTGGACAACCGATTCACCAGACTGGCGTTACAATAAAAACACAATGAACTGAAACACGTAGCAATAAATTATCTTAGCTACACTGAAAACAACCAAGCAACTGAGTTACACAAAAAGAGAATTACCGTAAAAATAACCATAAGAAGTCTTGCAATAAAACCCAAACAAGGATCAGTCATCAAGTCCTACAGACCTTCTCCTGCTACTCTGACTGTCCTGCAGGAGCTGCCCATTAATACATTTAACAGACACAGGAAGAAAAGAGTGTTTATAAAGGTGCTGCTTACATAAAGAGACTGTAAACCTCCTTCCGGTGTACATTAGCTCATCTCAGAGTTTAAGTGAGTCAGATAAGATCCTATTAACCTGCTGAATGCAGGACCTTAAAAAAATGTCCTGAGGAGTGAGAAGTTTAAATAATCTTCCCTGCTGTCTGAACCAGTTTTGATATTTGTTCTTTAAATTTGACCAGCTGGTAACACCATAACGTAGAAGTGACTCTATAATTAGCATAATGCTGCTTCACACTCCAAAGAGTCTGAGTCTCCTCAGAAAATGTAAAAGATAATTCTTTTGATGTGGACTGTCTGATGTTCTGCTCATGTATAGCAACATGTGGTCCCCAGCTGATCTGAATATTTGGGTTGTGGACAAAGGAACACATTTGAGGACGTTACCTTTGGGCTTTGGGAATCACTGACACTGTACAAATTTTTCTGGACCCAACAACTAATCTATTAATCGAGAAAATAAATAGTCCGACTGAGAATTAGACTCAGAGTCTTGAGTTTAA